AGAAGTTTAATTGTTATGTATTGTGCCTCAATGGCCGCATGCAATTACGTGGGCGTCCTCTCCGCCGTCCACCAATGCTACTCAGCACACGGCAGAGAAGGCCAATACCGCCAGGAGCAGCAGCAGACACATCTCGCCGCTCTTCACAGCCCCGTCCTTCACATCAATGGAGACCTGCTGCAATATCTTCTCCGTATCATCAGCGTGCTCTTTTGTCTGTGAAACTTGTGCCTTTGCCTCCGCAGTCTTCTGTTTGGCGGCTGCCGCATCTTGTTCTGCAATCACAGCCTTCTCAGCAGCCTGCTTCCCCGCATTTTCAGTCTGCTGTCTTGCCTGTGAAACTTGTGCTTTCGCCTCAGCGGCCTGCTGCTTGGCGGCCACTGCAACCTCCTTTGCCCGCGCTGCCTCGCTCGCTGCGGCTTGGAGTGTCTGCGCCGCAGCTGCCGCACGGTCGATTAGCTCCCCAGCATTCGTTTCCGCCTGCGCGGCATCCGCCACTACGGTATCAGCGCCAGTTGTTTCCGCCTTCATCGCCTTTGCTGCGTCTTTCGTCGAAATCCCTGCGCGATCGGCGCACACCCGCGCATCTTCCACGTTGTTGTATCTCCATGCCTTCGACGCACACTCTGCGTCTGTTGCGGTGCTGTTCACATTGCCCGCCACTCTGTGAGACGTCTCCGCCATCATCTTGGCCTTCGTCGCTGCCGCCAGTGCGTTTGTCACCAGGGTTTCTGCAGCTGTGGCGTACTCCTTGACCTTCTCCACCGCACTCCCTGCATTCGCCGCCGACCTTTCGGCTTGCTCCAAGGCAGCCTTGGCATCTGGTCCTGCTTCTCCTGCTGCCGCGGACAACTCAACGGCCTTCACCGCGTCCACAGCAGCTTGTATGGCTGACGCCGCCCGAGTTGCTTCTTCACGCGCCTTCGTAGCTTCTGCCACGGCTGCGGTACACGCAGACACTGCCGGAGCGGCCTTCTCCTTTGCGGTTGCAGCTTTCGCTTCCGCATCCTCAGCGTCCAACCGCGCCTGTGGAGGGGCTTCTTCTAACACTTCTCTTTTACAAGAGCCATTCCCAACCAAAAGCGCACAGGAAGAGGCACTCTTCGCAGTCTCTACGGCCTTCTGCGCTGCAGTGAACGCCGTGTTGGCCAAATCCCCAACATCCCTCAGCCCTTTAGTGCACTCCGCCGCCTTCTTGGCCTTTTCCAGCGCAAGCTTTGCACTCTCAGCCGCCTCCCCCACTGCCCCTGCTGCTGCTAGTGCCTCAGCTGCTATCGTGGTATTGGCATCCTCCTTCCTTGCATTCGCCTCTTCCAGTGCTGGTCCCACGGGTGCTGGCGTTATCACTTGAGTGTTTTTGGCACCGGCAGCAGCTGCCGTCACGCAGAGGGATGTGCAGCACAGTGCGAGGGCCAAGACACACACAGCGCGTCGCCCCATCATCAAGACCAACTGTGGTACCTAAAAGGCTGAGGTCTGCGCAGAGAAATTAAAGAGAGAAACACCAGGTAGCACGCGGAATCAGAGACACAAATAGAGCACGGCAGGGCACAATAGATTCAACGCATGCCGCAACCACAATCCAAGGGGAATCACACAAGATAAAAACCAATTAGCTGGCTGCGCACACTCATCGCCGAAAGGAAAGCCCAAAACCCCCACAAAAAAAAGTTATTATCCAACGTTTATCCCGAGCACAAAAGAAAAAAACAACAACAACATCATCTAAGCCTCATGGAACGGCGCCCATTCCCAAAGAGGATAGCAATGAGTAGCAAACAAAAAATCATAATGATGAAGATCGTCTCAGGGGCTGTATGCGATTCAATAGAGATCAACACCCAGAAGAGATCCTTGTTACCATACGGCCACGCAGGCCAGCAGTAGCAGCAACGACGCACGCCCCCACGCAGGGCCGCAGCTGTCGTCCCCCTTGAGAGACGTGACCAGATGGCTCACTTCATTCTCGCCCTCAGGGAGAGACGGTTTGCCCGAAATCGCGGCCTCCGCGTATTCTTTTGCCCTTTCAGCAGACAACACTGCCCCATCCGCGAGCTTCTTCAGCTCCTCAGTGGCTGTCTTCAATGTTTTGGTGTAAGCTTCGACATCATCAGCCTTCTTCAACGCTTCCACGGTCCGTGTCACTGCCTCGCTCGCGTGCGTACTTGCGTCTTCCTCCGCCAATTTGGCCTTTTTGGCCACATCTTGATCGTTCACCGGTGGTGGAGGCCTTTTCTTCTTCGCCACCGCCGCCGCCGCCTCTGCCGCCGCCCCCGCGTGGTTCGCCGCCGCCTCCGCACTTGTTTTTCCGTCCTTGACACTCTCCAGTACAGACTGAACTTTCTTCAGTGCCTCCTTGAACTTTGAATCGGCTGTCTGTGCATTCTGCTCCGTCTCCTTCACCTTCGCCTTGATTTCCTCAGCAGTCGCCGCCGCCTTTTGTGCGTCCACCGCCGCCGCCTTGGAATTCTCAGCTGTAACCTTTGCGTTGCCTGCCAAAGCCTCGGCAAGTCCGCCCGCGCTCTTCACTTTGAGCACCGCGTCCACAGCCTTCGTCTGTGCAGCCTCGGTCTTGGCCACCGCACCCTCCAGGAGCCCCGCTGCTTTCGTGAAGAGATCAACCGCAGACTTCGCTGTGGCCTTTGCATTGGCAAGTGAATCGGCGCTCGGCTTTGCTTCGCTTGTTTTTTTTTTAACCCCCTCCGCGAGCTCCCGTGCCTCGACAAGGATCGTCGAAGCCTGCTCGATATCATCTTTTGCCTTTGCAGCCTTCTCCTGGGCCGCGTTGGCGTCCCTCACTGCCCTCTCGGAGCCCCTAAGCAACTCCTTCGCATCCGTTGCCGCCTTCTCCGCGTCCTTCAGCACCGCCTCCGCGTCTTTCACTGCCGCTTCCACACTCCCTCTTGCCGCCTCCGCAGACTTCGCCAAAGTGCCGCCTGCGGTGGCTCCCCCATCGCCCGCCTCCGCACTCTTCCCAGCAGCGGCAGCCGTCACGCACACGGACACGCCACACAGCGCGAGGGCCAAGGCACACACAAGACGTCTCCCCATCATCACAGTGAGCATGATCGCGTAAGTATCTGAAGTCCGCACAGTGAGAAAGAGAGAGAAGAGAAATACACAACGTGTACCAAGCACATGGCGAAAAAAAGAGACACAGCGAGGCACAGAGCGAAGCTAACACGCCAAAGGAGACTCAAAACGAAGCCAGTACTAAGAGAACGTAGCACACTTACCCACTCCAAACAACTTTGCAAAACCAAGAGAAAAAAACAGCGACAACGCCGCTGTGTACGTGTAAGCAAATGCCAGCATGGGTACGAGTCTACACACTCCCGCCCGCATCATTCCGCGCAGCACAGACTGCCGGTGAAGTGCAACGAGAGGTGTCGCGCGAGCCCACACTTTCATCGACACAAAGGAGCCACCAAAAAGGGAAAAGCTGGGCTCGTGTCTCACGTGTACTCCAGCAGCCTTGGAGGGTTCAGTCCAACAGAGCAGCAGTAGCATCGAGAACAAAGAAGAAAAAAAGAAAAGAAAAAAACCTTTAAAATCGAGTATTCGGTCCTCAAGAGGACCCAAAACTACGGTGGGACCATATTCCCACGGTTACACCGAGATACCTTGCCGCACAGCCACCCAGAAGCTGACGATGCGGAGAAGGAGTCCGTTAGCGGGCGGCATACAACTGTACGCAGAGCAAAGCCCGGAGAAAAGATGAAAACAACAGACACAGCCCCCAGACGATATATCGAGCACAGTAAATATCATCGAGCGTGAATAGGGCAGCGCCCAGCCCACAGCCGGGCAGCAATGAATCGAAAACAAAAACAAACAATCTTACCAAGCTAGTATTTAGCCTCCGCGGGCACACACACACACAATTAAGGAGGGGAGTAGCGAGCTGCGCACACCCCACCCACAAAAGTCTCGCTCAGCACAGCACTGACAGCAGCAGCGCCAGCAGCAGTGGTGCACGCACCCACGCAGAGATGCTGCTGCTGTCCGCGGTGTTGGCGCCCGTTGGAGAAGGGCGTGCTTCTTCACGACCCTCCTGACTGCCCGCGGTTGCTCCTCCCGAGCCCTGTGGGCCACTCAGTCCCGCCTTGGCATCCGCCGCCAGCTTCTCCGCGGCCTCTCTGCGTGCTCGCAGATCCGTTTCGGCTTTCTGCTTGGCGGCCACTGCAACCACCTTTGCCCGCGCCGCATCGCCCACTGCGGCTTGGAGTGCCTGCGCCACACCTGCTGCACGGTCGATTAGCTCCTCAGCCGCCACTCCCGCCTTTTCCCCCTCGCTCAATGCAACGTCTGCAGCGTCACTCACACCATCCCACTGATTGTGCTCCCAGCTATCCGCCGCATTCACCACATTTTCCGCCATGGTCGCAGCTATCATCGCTGCGGCTTCTGATTTCTTCGCCGCACTCTTTGCATTCGTCGCCGCACTCCGTGCCGTTTTGGCTACTCGATCCGCATCCGTTGCAAACGTTCTCACTTGCTCCACCGCACCCTTCACCATGCCTGCTGCGTGTTTCGCCTTCTCGAGTGCATCCTTGACATACTCCCCTGTCGCTGCCAGTGCTGCAAGTTTTTCCGCCTTCACCTCTGCAGCTTGCACTGCCGCTGAGGATTTCTTTGCCGCCCGCGTAGCGCCGTCCAGCGCAGCGGCAGCTGCACCCACGGCCGCATTAGAGTCCTCCTCGGCTGCTGTAGCAGACCCCCATGCATCTGCGGCAATACGTTTCGCCTCTGCAGCTTCAGTTTTTGCCTCGGGAGCGCTCCGTGCCTCCTGCTGTGAAGTCTCCCTTTCTTCTAAGAGATTTTTCACCAACTTCCGTACATTTTGGGCGGCACTCACCGCTTTCTTTTCCGCACTCAGAGCCCCTCTTGCGGTGCTCCCAGCAGCAGCCGCTGCGCGCTTTGTGTCCGTTGCCGACTTTTTCGCCTCTTCCAATGCAAGCGCTGCGTCTTCTGCTGCCTGCTTGGCCTCCGTTGCTGCAGTGATTGCCCGCTCCGCCGTCTCGATCACTTCATTCTCTTCAATAGCCACCTCTTTCTCCACGGTGCCCACCACCGAATCCATTTGCTTCTTCACATCTTGTTGCAGCGCCGAGCCCCCAACCTCATCTCCCGCCGCGTTGCCACCCCGCCCAACACCAGCAGTCGCCACGCACAAGGCCGTGCAGCAACACAAGAGAGCCAAGACGCACAGACCGTGGCGCCCCACCATCATGAACAGTATCACCTGAATGACTGAAGTCTGCAGGGGTGAGGAGAGAAGGGATGCACAGCAGGCGGCCAACACACAGGCAGGGTGGGAGAGAGCACCAGCAGCCAGTGTGCGTCGCACCACACGAAGCAG